AGTAGCTCTTTTTTCCTCCCTCCCACAAAAACCACGAAGGATTTTTGTGAATTGAAGCATGCTAATAGTGACACTCTTGGGTATTTGGGAGTGTTTCTTCTCTTACTGTTGCTATATTATTTTGGTAAATTTGGCTTATTTAGAACTAAAGGTAATGCTTTATAATTGAATTTGATATGTCATCATAATCTGAGTGTAGATGTTTCTTGAGAATTGTGAGTACCAACACAGCTAAAGAACAGGCTTTCTAAGCTTGCTCCCTTCTAGGCAGACGATGTATCTTTCCAAGATTTTTAACAGCATTCATCGTGATATATTAGCTGTTAAAATGACTAGTCAGAGGGTGCCATTAACAAAAGTCCTGATATTTTTGGCCTCAGATGAATTAAATTTTGATCCAGGAACAGGGAATTCACCTCTAACGGCCATCATTTCATAGACAGTCAGTGAAAAGTTGCCTCACCGGAGGTATGTGCTTAGTACTCAAAGCACTGCCTTCTCAGCCAGTAAGTCAGGTTGCTGTGCATGCTCCTTGCTGTGGTGCATTAGGGTTACTGAGCTGGAAACAGCTGGACTAAGAGTGGGAGGAGCGGGAAGTAGAAAAAAAAAAGAGTGGGAGAAGGAAGAAGGGAAAGGTGAAATGGATTCTTGAGTAGTGTAAGGGGCCACAGTCTAGTCAAAGAGCCCCCAGGTGGGCAGCGTAGGGAGTCAGAGGTGTCAGATTGATGTCAGTGGGTCCCACTGTTGACTTATGTGAAGCAGGGAGGAGAAAGACGGTCACTTTTTCCCCATTCGCCTGTCACCCGGGTCCCTCTGGGAAGAACTGGTGAAGTCTTCGATGAATCCCTGCTCGGCATGGGCCAGAGCCCCGCCAGCCCCACTAGGTGGCCTTGAGACCACACCTGAAGGCTGCCTGGTCTCTGGGAATGGGATTGATCCCACCACCCGATTTCTCCAGGAGCCATGGACTTAGGTTGGAGCGAGGATTTGCTCTTTGCAGGAAAGGAGGGGCCAGCCCCAGGCCTTACCCAGGGCTTTTGGGGTTCTTGTCTCACTTCACATAAAATAATTTCAGGAGTAGACAAGCAGCGAAGTAAAACAGATTTTATTTGGAGGTTTTTGAATGGAAGGAGGAAGAGAAAGTGGGAGAAAGTGGAGAGTAACATGCTCAAGAGAGAACCTGGGCTTCTCCACGGGTGGAGAGAGCCCTTACACACATCCCAGAATTAGGCACGAAAGCATGAAAGTCCACATCTCAAGTGAGGAGATGCGGGCAACGCATGTGCTCAGGTACCACATGTGCTGGGCCACATGGGCGCAAGCAGCACATGGGCTCGGGCAATATATGTGCGTACTTCATTTGTTCAAGGTGGCCTTTATAGGGTTTCTCCAACCTGCCCCCATGTGGGGCTTCTACCTAGGTCACAGTCCATTGGATTGGAGGTTACCAGGGCGTTTGGGAGTGGTGATGGTCTTCTTTGAAATTCCTTTTCTGGCTTTTTATTTCTGCAGAAGTTTCTATGGGTCTGTTGCTGTAGATAGGTGAGGGTCTTATCAGGCCTTAGTTCCTGTGTTTTCCTGTTTTCTGCAAGGTCGGCTTTTGCCATTGCCTTGGGAGGGGGCCTTTCCTATCTGCCTACATCAAGTTCACGCCAGGTATGTCCACGTCTGGGATCAGATGTCAGCCTGCTGGCCTTACCCTCTTGTCTCTTCCTTTCATAGCCACTGGGGCTTCACTGACGGGGAGGACAGGGCCCAGAGTGCTTCCAGGTCTTTTCATTTGGACTAGATAAACAGTGCCATGTACCATTACTGGTTCATCTGAGCTCATGGCCTCCTTGGGACTTGGCTGGATGTTCTGATGAGAGCAACATCCTCGTAACCAACACAACAGTGTGAGATGAGACTCTCTGCTTACATCATGGTTTCTCTAACTGGATCAAACCTCACGCACCCCATCCACACCCCCAAACAAAACAAAACAAAACAAAACAAAACCCAGAACACAACAGTACTAGTTTCTGGATCCCTCTGCAGACTAATTGCATCTGTGTGGAAAGGGACCTGAAAATCAACCTCAGGCGAATTCTCATGACTCTGATGTACCAGAGTTTCTTGAGAAACTCTCTCCTACAACGTGGTTTTCAGCTGCCAGTCCACCCACCTGTAGGAAGGCTGGGTCTCACGTCATCTCATCTCAGCAGATACTGTACCCCCGGTCTGCCCCTTGGTTATTTATAACTGTGGGTTCATTGACCGGTACACAATACAGGGGTCTGCCTGCAAGGTGTAAAAACGTTTATGAAGCTGCTATAGCAGAGGGTGAATAATCTGCTCGCCTGTGACAAATAATTACACTCTGATATGTGCTATCTGTGTATGATAGTGAATGGACAGGGGACTGATGGGCTCATGACTTTCCTTTTTACCTCACTAGGCACAGAACAATGTGACTCTTTCCAGATGGGTTCATGACACAGTCATATATTCTCTCTAGAACATGAGCTGTGATTTGTTTGAAATCAGAAAGGGGCCTGGTGGCATTCAAATGGTTCAATCTGTGGCACCGTAAAAATTAAGTAGAAGAGAGAAGCTGAAATCCACACTTTATTCATCTTCACATTATTCTGTTCTCCCGGCAGTGGGCCTTTCTTTCACTCTCCGAGAACGGGGGCGCTGCAGTACCTGTGTTTGTCACAAGGTGGCAGAGAAAGGCTGTAGATGTTAGTTGACCTTTTTTTTTTTTTAATTGATTCTTTGCTATGCCTGTATTTCATGTGTATTCAACCAAAGGAAGTTTGAACTATAGTTTCTAGGAAATTTGAGTGAGATATTTTTATTTTGATAGTAAGAATGCTTTCTTGTTTACTTTGGAAAACATTGGGAGGTGTTGGGAGGGTAGCACAAAGGGCTGGAATGCTTGTTTGGCATGTGAAGGCTTGAGTTTGACCCCAGCATCTCATCACATCCCAGGCACTACCTTGGGGGTGGTTTTGGTGGGCCACAGCACCACTCAGTCCCAGTATAACCGCATCACCGGGCTGAGCACTGGAACATCTTGCCTGCATAGCCAGGCTGCATATCTCCCTGAGTGGCTTCTGGACACCACCAAGCTCTGCTTGGCACTCCCCCCCCCCCCCCCCCGAAGAGTACAGATATTAAAATTATTGCTGGATCATTCTTTTGAAATCAAAAATCCTGTATATCAATGTATAAATCAATAAAGATAGAGAATATGAAATATCCTATTATTTTCCTTTGAAGGGCACCAAATGACTTTGAGTTAGTATGCATATAAAGGTCTTATATAGCTATGTATAAATCAGTGCAAATCAAGAATATAAAATATCCTATTATTTTCCTTTGAAGGGCATCAGAATGACTGAGTTAATATGCATTAATCTGTTTATTTTTTTCTGGGGGTGGGGGTGGCTTTACGCAGTGCGTAGGGCTTACACTTGGCTGTACACTCAGGGATCATTACTGGTGGTACTCAGGGGACCATATGAAGTGCCAAGAATCTAACTCAGGTCCAGGTCAGCTGCATGCAAGGCAAGTGCCTTACCCATTGTACTCTTTCTTCAACCTCCAGAGGTCTTATTGTTCTATGATTTATAAAGTCTTATTATGCAAATAGAAGATACAGATCTTGCCTTCAATAAACTGCAGAATTAGTTGGAGAAAAAATGCACTTGAATTTCAGAGAACAAAGAAATAAAAATTATCATATACAGTGGCGTATAATATTGGCTATATAAAAACATGAAGTGGACTAATTGGCAGTTAAGCAAAACTCACGAATGATATTTTGCAAGAAATTGTTCTTACTGATGTTATCTAAGTGACTAAACTATGAGAACAAATGTTTAGTGATTCAGAGAGCTATGTAAGACTTACCGTTTAGCAAAACAAAATAGAAAAGATCTTAATTATGAACTCAACTCATTTTTTTATTTCAAATACTGTTTTGTTTCTAATTACTTGGAAGGATTTTTCAGAAGAGCTTGAAGGTTTTCTAATTACACAGATGTTAGGTACAGCTTTCTGAGATTACTGGTGTCTGAAAAACATTTCTGTTAAAGAAATCAAGTGTAGGACCAGGGAGGAGGTGAGGTGCTCGCTTTGCATATGGCTGACCCCATTAAATCCCTGGCACTGTGTATAGTTCCTGAGCTCTGGTGGGCTCAGTCCTGAGTTCAGAGCCAGGAATATCCCCTGCGTGCTCCCAAAAGAACGAAACACAATGAAAGCTAAATAGGGTCTGGAGAGGGGTAAACGGGGACTTGCTGTTTAATGGATGTAAATTTTGAATTTTATAAGATGTACATATTTTGGAGATCTTTCTCATAGTGAAGTGAATAAGTATTACTGAAATGTGTACCTAAAATGGTTAAAATGGTAAATACAATGTGTTTTTAGCAGTTTCCTTCAACCAATAATGAGCAACCATACTGCTCATATTTTTTATCTGGAGAATTAATAAAATTTTCAACAAGTTTATTGGGCTAATAATATACCAGACTTCCTGCAAAGACTTGAAATATAAATTATTTCTAATCTTAAGCTCTTGAAATAATAAAGGAAATAAATCTTATCCCTATTTCCATATTTTATATGTGAAAAAATTTTAAAGATAAGGTTTTGTATGTCGTTGAAGGTTGTAAAATTTCTTTTGGATATTGCTATTTAAACCCAAGACTTTCTAAATCTATTTTCTGTGTTATACGTGTCCAAATAATTTAAATCAGTATAAATAAACAATGAGCAATCTCTCTCTAATATGGTATTTCTACTATCAGCATGCTTTGTCATTTTATTGAAATTATTCTGATAAAATTAAAAGAGAGGATATGTGTTTCAATGAATGGCACATATTTATCTCATTTGTGTTCTAACTCCAGAAAGGATACTGATACGTTGTTTATTGATATGAATTTTTGTTTTTCTTTTTGTTTAACTTTGGAGCCACTAATATCTTTTCCCTGTGTATTCATGTGCAGGTTATGTGGGTATGTAATTTGTGCCGAAAACAACAAGAAATCCTCACTAAATCAGGAGCATGGTTTTATAATAGTGGATCTAATACATCACAGCAACCAGATCCAAAGGCTCTTCGAGGACTGAGGAATGAGGAGGCGCCTCAGGAGAAGAAAGCAAAGCTTCACGAACAGGCCCAGTTCCAAGGACCCTCAGGTGACTTATCTGTACCTGCAGTGGAGAAAAGTCGATCTCATGGGCTCACAAGACAGGATTCTATTAAAAATGGGTCAGGAATGAAGCACCAAATTGCCAGTGACATAGCTTCAGACAGGTAAACATTTTGTTTAATCTTTAGGTAAACATTATTTTTAATCTTCATTCCAAACAGAAATCAAAATACATGAAACGTTTAGGCAACAATGTAATGGAGATATCCATATGCTTTTTATATATGCTGAAGGTAATGTTCAGAACTTTAGCTATTATAGGCTTGAGAAACTGTAGGGTTTTAGATGATCGGATTGATTTTCTATAATAAACATGTGAAACAAACCAGGGAACTTAAATTGGTTACTGCTCCAGGAAAGACCGCTGGGATGAGAGCACCTGAAATGGAGAATGGTTTTAATGACTTTTGAGAGGTTGGATTAATGGGACATAATGGAAGGGGGTTAAGAAGTCAGTGATGTCTCCATGGGTCTGACATGGGACTGAAGGGCGAAGGGTTTTTCCAAGCAGGTAAAATACAAATGAAAACAATTCATGAGCTGATATTCCTTTAAGCTGTTTCTGTTATTGTTGCTTCAGAACTCTCAGTTCTGTGGACTTCTATATGGAGTATGTTAGACTTTTAGAAATAGAGTTTATGTGCCTTATAGTTTCTATCTTTGAAGAGGGAGAAAACAAAACTTTTATGGAAAGATCATCTCTCTGTCTCATATTCCTCATTTAAAAATGAAAAATTAAAGAAAAATATCTGGTCTTTACAGTTTCTAGTGTTCAGAAGTGGTAGATACATTTCTGTATGAATAAGTACAGTCATTTATAGAAGAAAAAATGCCAACTGTACTTATAAGATGAGGGTTCTGAGCATTTTGTTAACAGGTAAGTTATCTGGGGTATACTTTAAATGGTGCCTAAACTCATCACTCCAACATGTTACTATGTTTTTGGCAAGTAATAAAATTATGACTGTACAGTTTTTTAAAACCAGACAAGTTAAATAATGTAATCCTGGCTTTTATCTGATGTCTGTAATATTATCAACACTTTTCCAGTAAAATCTCAGGAACCAAAGACTTTTTTTATGTCGCAAAATTATATTACATTAAGGTTTACCTTTTGCACACAGTGACTTGAGTGCCGGTAGGTTATTTGAAAACAATTCCAGGTTCTAATAGGAGAGTAGAAGAATGTTTTGTTTTGTTTAAAGAGACCCTCCTTCCCACACCCCTCCCACAACCCGTGTTGGTCATTTTCTGGACCATTGATTCATTATTCAGATAACTGTGGCCTGATCTTACCAGTACTTCTGGGAAATTGGGTAGAGTAGCTTCAGTATTGTCCCATAGAATGGGCAAGGACCCTGGGGCTTTATTCATAATTCTCTTTTAGTACTCACTTAAGGTTGCTTCTGGGCATAGTAACTCTCTGGAGCCTACTGTCCAAGCCCTCTCTCCTCCTTTCTCTCCTCATCTTGTATTTTTGAACCATACCTAGCAGTTACTCCTGGAGACCTTGGAGGATTTACCCCAGGGCCCCTGCATTCAGAGCTTGCCCTCCAGCCTGGGAAACCTTCTCCCTTCCCTCTACTTTTTTTTTAAAAAAAACCTTTTATAAAACAAACATTAACTAGTGAGAGAAAAGAAGTAGCAGTTACCTGCTTTTAACAGTTAATGAGGCATTCTAAGAAATTTAGTTTCAAAGAAAGAATATCTTATAGATTTTATAGATTTTTGAATGCTTCTACGTTTCATTGCTTCAGTGTTGATACCCAATGAAGGCATTGAGAGTCATTATGATTTTGTATGGAATTTTAATTATGTAAGAGTGAAATACTAGCAAAATGTCATAGGACTCAGTTTTATCCCAGTGCATTTTTACTGAAGATGAAAAATGTTACCAAGAGTAAACAATGATGAGAAGACTATGAACATAAAGTAGTTATTCTAGATTTAACATGTGAAGTTTTAAGACAAGTTAAGAGTGATGAATATTGCCAGTTTGGTTTTTACTATTTATCTGTTTCTTAATACTTATGGTCTCAAAAGTATGTCTGTGATATTTGATCTTATCATAATACAGTAAGTCACATACATGTAGGTGCCTGGGAAGGCCACTCAGGCGGTATAGCACCTGCCTAGCATGCGTGAGGTTCTGAGTTCCACCTTCAGCAATGTGCGGTTCCCTGGGCACCATGGTGTGTTGTCCTCATGTCTGCCAAAACACTGCTGTGACCCTGCTGGCTCCAGGAACACAGCTTGGCTGGAAGCTGCTGTTCGCCTGGTGGCCCTTCGGTATGTGGGCTGAGCTCTAGTGGAGCTGACCCTGGGCCCACAACCACTGCCCAGTGTGGCCATGGTTCCTATATCTACATACACGTACGTGTGTGCACACATACGTGTATATACTTCATTTTATCCCAGTATAGATACAAGGATTGGATTCACCCTTCTAGCTGTAACAACTAAAAAAAAAATCCAGATGAAATATTAGAACTGGTATTTTTAAAAAAGAAATGGGGCATTGAGCAACAAAGGAGTTAGTACCAGGCCATTGGGAAGCTCAAATACAGCCTATTATTGCCCCAGCACACATAGTGCCTGAAGAGCTTCTAGGCTGTGGTGCAGAGGTGGGCAGGCGCATCCCAAAGGCCTTCCTCGTCTGAAAAGACTGCTCCAAGGATGAGGGGACATCACTGCGGATGGACTTGGCCAGATATGCTAGCGCAGAGGAGACTGTTGAAGATCAGCCTTGCAGAGGATCCCTGTGTGTTTGACAGGGAGGATTGTGCATGCATGTAAAGGACCTCCTTCAGGGGGTCTGGGGCCATCCAACATGGTTGCTGCTCCGGTCAGCTCTTGGTGGCTAGACTAGAAAACTGCAGAATTCCTGAGCCATTGGCTAGAGTATGTTGGGACACTTTACCTCAGTAGTAGGAATATTAAAATAGCTATATTAATTGTATTCCATATAGTTAAGAGAAGCAGAGATACTAAAACACAGAAATAAATCCTAAGTTGAACCTAGATGAGATTAATAATATCTGAAACAAAAAATACACTTGACAGAAATAATGAAAATTATGTTCTAAAGAATAAAAGAAACAATAAATTTGAAGACAAATAGAAATAATTTTTTTCTCTCTTTTTTTTTACAATCATTTTTATTTTTATTATTTTTTATATGTCGGAGTATTGCTGTTTATTCAGCCATTGATTAGAATGATTGAATTGGGCATGAATCCATCTTATTTTTTCCCCCCTTTTTATAATTTTATTTGTTGAATCACCGTGACAACAGTTACAAAGCTTTTGGGTTTAAGTCTTGGTCATATAATGAAACACCAATACCTTCACCAGTACCCTTCTCTACCACCAAAACCCCCAGTATACCCCCCATCTCACACCCTCCCCTTACCTGTGGGGCAGATGATTTCCACATTACTCTCTCTCTACTTTGGTTACATTCAATATTTCAACACCAGACCCACCATTATTATTTGGGATTTTTTTTCTTTTTGGGTCATACCTGGCGATGCGCAGGGATTACTCCTGGCTCTGCGCTCAGGAATTACCCCTGGCGGTGCTCAGGGGACCATATGGGATGCTGGGAATCGAACCCGGGTCAGCCGCATGCAAGGCAAACACCCTACCCTCTGTGCTATTGCTCCAGCCCCTATTATTTGGGATTTTACCCCAACACTCAGATCTGCCGAAGAAGCAACAGTAAACAATTTGTTTTCTCCTGCTGGTTATGAATAACATATGAAATTGTGTGGCTGCAGTAGTGGCTATGTGATTTTGCAATTCAGAAATCTTAACAATTAAATCTGGAGGGATTTCTGCCCAAACCTGCTGGGTTCCGAGACTTGTTCCTGAGTCTCTTGGATCATGGCTGTTAAACAGCTTGATCAGGAGCCAGAGAGGCCTTTCATGGGTGACGACTCAGGATCTTGTTGGGGCGGGGAGGAAAGGGCTGGCTCCACCCCCATCTTTGAAGGCCCTGCGTGTCTCGTCACTGCGGGCCCAAACCTAACTGTCCAGTGGCCTCTGGAGGATGGTGGTTTTAGGCATTAAACCTATTCCCACCTGGGGTGGCACGGCGCTGGTAACCTACTGCAGGGACTGGAGGCATTTCTGCCAAAAGCTGCAGGGTTCTGATATTTGTTTCTGAGTCTCTGGGATCATGGCAGCTTGATCAGGAGCCAGAGAAGCCATTTGCGAGTGGTGACTTGGGGTCTCGTTGAGGTGGGGAGAAAAGGGCCGGCTCTACCCCCATCCCATCAGGCCCCATGTGTCTCATCACTGTGGGCCCAAACCTGACCAATGGCTGCCATCTTCCAGAGGTGCCAAGGGGGAGCAGGCAGAGGGACAGCACCCTTTCCCCCCGGGGGTAGTCCGGCGCCGGTAACCCATTACGGGGAACGGACACATCTCTGCCAAAAGTCGCTGGGTTCTGAGATTTGTCTCTGAGTCTCTGGGATCATGGCTGTTAAGCAGTTCAATCAGGAACCAGAGAGGCCTTGCCTCCAATTATATAGCTGAGCCGGAGGTGGTTTGTGGGTGTGTCTCCCACATACCTAACTTTTGGCCATTTACTTTCTTGGTAAACTTTGCCCCAAGTTTTTGGGGTCTGGCTAAAGTCACAGCAGTAATTTTGGGGTATCTGGAAGTCTGAAGGTGCCATCAGGCTGCAGATGCACTTGCCTCACAGGTACAGATTGACTTGCTGGTGGCATCATACCCCCCAAAATAGAAATAGTTTAAAGTGAAACAATAAAAAAAGAGTAGCACCTTAAACCATGAGCTTTGGGACAGTTTCTGCCGCTTTCTGAACATGTACTTGATGTACTCGGAGGAGAGTGATCACTGTGGAGTTCACTAGAGAAATTTGAGGTAGTAACAGTCAGCCATTTTTCATTGTCATGAAATCTGCCAAGTCACGAATGAGAGAAGTTCTCCAAACTGAAAACATAAGGAACCTAGTGAAAACTATTCCAGGGTACATTATTATCAATTTGCTTAAAAACAACAGTCAAGGAACAATCTTAAAATCAGCCAATGGGAAAGGAGAAGTGTATGTGTGGGGGAGCAGTGAGGAAAATGACAG